TTCAAATGAGTGGAGGCATATCCAGTAATCTCTGAAGAGTGTTAGAGCTTTAAAATATAAAACTCTTAATTGTTACGCTTTAAAAAAAGAAAGTTTGTGCTGGAGTCTATCAGAATGGTTCATCCAGAACTCAGCATTAGAGTACCAGTCGTCTTTGTGGTTCTGAAGAGGAGTACATTCACATTTAACCATCTTGGATATGAAGCCTCCAATTGAATCCCTTACAAGGTGTAAATGGGGAAGTGATAATTTATCTGTTGTGTCTTTGAGATCATTCAAGATCATTCAGAAATCTCTGGATTTTAGAGTCTACCAAACAGTATTAAGAGTGGAGTGTTACCATTCTGCTAAAATGAAGCTTAGCAACCATGCACGTGGTTATTATTTAGACCTTAGATACTTACAAAAGGCCAATTTCAGTTTGCTAGGAAAAGCAGTTCTAGAAGTTTTTAGGCTATCATCCTGTTGTATTCATTTGTTGAAAGAGTTTAATCTGGGACTTAAGGCAATCATCAGGTTTGCAAGAAAGCGGTAACATCGGAGACTTCAGCACTAATGGTGTTCTGGCTGCTGCTTTGGAAAGATGTCAGGTTAAATGGAAGAATGGAGATATTTCTTTAATACAGCTCCCCTCACGCAACTGCTGTCCCTAACACTTGCTCAGCTTCCAAGCATGTCCGCTTCAGGATGGATATTCTTCAAATCATGATTGACTCGCAGTTTCAGCAGAAATGTATTTGAAGGTATCTGTGGTTATTCCAGTGCAATGTCTGTTTGCACAAAGGTTCCACAGTAATTAATGAATTTCTAAATCTGAAAGTACTCGTCATTTTGACACACAGATATTTCCAAAGATGAAGGCCACAACCTGTCTCCAGGAATACTGTTCATAAGAGGACAGGTGAAAGATAACCGCTTGGAAATCCAGTTAATCTTTTTTTCCATTTAAAACTTGTGGTTGCTGTAATGTTTTGTTTCTTGCACCACAGTGACCCATTTAATTTGACAGAAAATCTCTGCTATTTTTTAGAATAAGGTAGCTTATGATCTTGCTTTGAGTACCAAAGTACTGCCTTTTGGTGAGCATGTTGCAATGTAAAGAGAACATCCATGTGGATTTGCCAGGCCAAAAGGATAAATACATAAGAGAATAACTGGGATACAGACTGTGCTCTGAACTGTCATAGATTTGTTCAAGGAATTGAACAAAATGTAGATATATTTCGGATGTATCTACATTTTTTGGGGGGGGAAGGGGTGAATAATGTTTCTAAAAAGAAAAGAATCTGAAAACAACAAACTTGGATATCTGACCTCTGATATAGTCAGAAAGCTCTTCTGTGCCTTACTACATATTCCTTTTATTATGAAAACCGTTACAAAGAGTGAAGCAAAAAGATCCTGATCACACTTTATTGGTCTCAAGAGCTTGTGAGCCTACACATTCAGAACTGTGGCAAGCTTTGAATCTAGGTCTGCAGGATTTGAAAGAAAAGCATTGGTCTGATATTTTGGCAAAGTCCTAGATCCTGATAGTAACAAGAAATTCTACTGTCTATGGGATGAAGTGGATGAAGCTTGGATACTGATGCCTTGAAGGATACAAAATATATTTGAATGGATATTGTAAAAATTCCTAAGTTCATCTGTTCGTCAAAACCCTAAGGAGTCTTAGGACTCATGTCTTAACAAAGGTGTATGCAAACTTGCATATATTTGATTGTAAAAGAGAAGATATGAAGACATCTGTTTTCAGAGGGTAATTACTCTCTCCTCACCCCTCTGATTCTCTGTTATTATTCTCAGATAGTTCAAAGTGAGTTCAAGATTTTATAAAGCCCTTGAAGCCCAATGGTATATTTCAGCTTTCAGATTTCTGCAGCTGTCATGGCAATTTAAAAAGTTTTTGTGCTCATTCAATAGAGTTTTTTTCATTATGCTCAATGAAGATAGTGGTACTATGTACTTATCCTACCTTTTATGCCCTAGTTCAACCTGATATTTTCATATACTTGGGCCAGCTTTTTTGTCCTAGATCCAGAAATCTCATAGAGGCAAAACAGTAATGGTCAAGTCTAGTTCTGAGGATCGCCATCAAGATGCACTGGAAATATGAAGAAATCTGTGAGTAATCTGTAACTCTGTCTGCAATCACCTTGCCGTTTAGGAAAAGAAAACTTTGAAGGTGTCCCTTTCTTCTCAGATAAGATGTCAACAGATTGTCGTTATAATAACTTACTAAAACATCAGTGTTCAGTTGTCAAGAGAAATTAAGAAGGTGCATCAGAAAAGCTCTGTATTTAGAGGGAATATGTATGCCAAGTTGTGATGTGATCATCTACTTACCTGTTCTCAACTTACAATTTGATGTTTTGGATGATGAAGAACAACAGCATTTTGAGCCTGGTCAGTTACAGAAGTTCAAGCGAGAAAATTGGTCCTACTTGAATTGTTTTGGTTGTTTAATCTTGGAGCCTTCAGCATGAGGGCTCTGAAAGGTGAGTTTTGGTTGATCCAGCTACAGCTGTTTAAGGCATCACAGCTCCTGGCCATCTGCCTTGCTCTTGTAATAGGCATAGCAGAGGGAAACGTTTGCTTGGCTCTTAACTGACTCGTTCAGCCTGGTAGGTTAATGCAAACCATCTTCACTAGTGTCTTAAGGTGATGCACTGGAGAATGAAATGCGCTTGTGGAAATATGAATGTGTGTTCCTTTCTGCTACAGGTGATAACCTCAGTTAAAGGAGCGGGGCAGATAACTGATAACAGTAATGTCTTAAAGGCTACTGTTAGATCCACAATCAGAGCTTTACAGGACTTTTTCAGTGTGGCTGACATTTCTGGGTTAAAATGAAAAAGCTGACTGACTTTTTCTTAAGAACACAAGTTTCTTAATTTGTGTTTCAAAATTTAAAGAGTTTTAATTGAGAAATAAGGTAATGATGTGTGTGGATGTATGTGTATTAACATATATGTTTTTTAAAAAAAAATCAAATTTGAAACCTATTAGTCTGGAAGCTTCTATTTCATGACCATTCCTAAGACATGCCATGAAGCTCAGTGAGGTCAAAGCCCTCTTAGTCACAGGGAGAAAAAGATTTTTTGTCACTGCATGAAGGTTTCAAAAAAAATATTTGTTTTAATCAGTAGTGTTGGGAAATTAATCTATATGAGTTCTCATATGAATCCAACAGTTGCTGTAGTACAGAAAAAGCAAAAATCTCCATGCTAAAAAGCTGCACCTTTGATTTGGCAAATTTATTTTACTTCACATGTCTATCATAAAGTTGGCAGGCGTTCCTATAGGTGTTTGTTGAACTTTGAAAAGTTCTTGATTTGCAGTTGACCAGTTTCTGCATGGAGTTTATTGTATCTGTCTTTACTGTCTTCCGGCCATTAAATGTTGTTCATAATTTTGGAGTTTTAGGAAGTTAGAGATGTACAAATAGATTTAAGAATGTTACTGATGGGGAAAAAAGTCTGTTCACATCACTGGAATTGATCATGTTACTACTTGTTACTGTGTTCTAATGTTAATTTTGGAGATGATTCTTCAAAGTTTTAATTTTTCTAAATAAGAATCTTATACAAATATAGAAGAAATTAGAAGTCATGTGTTATAATTCTGGGTTACAATTTGAGAGGGTGGTGGGTTTTTTTTCCTTGGAGTTTATTTCCTTATTCCTTGATTGCATCCTCCTCACCATTCATTCTCCTGCTCCCAAAAAGAGAGCTGTCTCATTGCATCTGGTGTCACAGATCTAGGCACCACAAGTCTAGGCAGAAAATAGTTATTTTTCTTATATTGCATTTGTGGTCTAGACATTTTGACAATAGATGTACAACAGAATTTCCAACCTATGTTTAGTCATTCCTTAGACTTAAAGTCATATTCCCTGATTACAGAGAAAATAATGGATTTTTTGACAAATTACGCAATGATAGTTGAGAAATGAGAATATAAGCCTTAGCGTAGGTAGGGCTTTTGGTTTTCATGGCAGAAATTAATTTTACTTTAGAGTACCATGTTGGTAATATAAATAGATTGTAGTTCAGATGAGTAGAACATACTATTTTGGATACTTCCATGTGCTTCTCATTTCTACGAATTCTACCAAATTACAGGGTGTGTGGTTGGCTCACTTTATTTTTCTGTATTCTATTGTTAATGTTTTTTTAGTATAAACTGAAAGGCTTATTGCAGAGTCAAGCTTTTGACACTACATAAAATTATCACTGAACTTTTATTTCATCCATGAAAAGCATTATGGTTGCAAAGGGAAAATACTCAAGCTTTTAAGTGTGTAGTGGCCCCCCACCTAATATATATGTGTTATGGTATAGACTCCAACTCTTGGTGTACTGCTTAGCTTCAGAGAAAAGCATGGAGTCTTGGAGTTATTTTAATAATTTTTGTTCATTGTTTGTGTGTTCCCTGGCTAAAATATGTGTGAAGTCCAACTGATGCACTGAACCAAGTAGGGAGAACGTCTGTTTTAATCATTGCAGATCCTTGCTTAGTTCATGTATAATGAAGCAGGCTGAATCTGCAGAAGAGAATCTCTTATAGTAGTATTCCTCAACAAGCAGTTGTGGAGGTGCACCTTAACTTTGTCTTTGCAGACTTCTGCTTCAAGCGTAATTTATTAGTTTGGGTTTTTTTAAACCTTTTTTTTGGTCTTTATGTATTGTAGCTGCTTTATTAGGTGGTTCTCTTGGGAATTATATAGGGACTTTGATTTCATATGTTTTGAGGGTGGTTTTTTTTAATTATTAATTGGCACCCGTGGTGGTCTGACAATGAATGATAGTCTGAATACATTAAAAAGTATTAGCTAGAGAAGTTCTATTCTTGCTTTTAAATTCAATGGATTTTATTGTGTGTGCACATACATGCTGAGGAGGATTAATTTGTGGGAGTGGAGGGGAATGGAACATTCTTGCTTAGACATTTATCAGTTTATATATATAATCTGTGATTTTTGTCTTTTTAACTTGCAGATAAACCTCTGAAGAAGCGAAAACAAGAAAACAAACCACAGGAGGCTGGAGGTGCTACTGGAGGAAATAGATCAGCTTCTCAGGAGACAGGTTCTGCAGGAAATGGGGCGAGGCCAGCATTGATGGTTAGTATTGATCTGCAGCAAGCAGGAAGAGTGGACTCTCAGGCAACAGTAACTCAGGATTTGGACACCATCAAAAAACCTGAAGAAATAAAGCAGTATAACGACGGGTTTGTGTGTGTTCCCCAAGAAGACACTGTTGGAGTTCTTAAATTTAAACCTGAAAACCACCCTGAGATTTTTAGGAAAAAGTCAGACTTTGAGTCTCAAAAGACGGATATCCAGCAAAATGAAAACAGACAAATGGAATTTCAGCAAAATGAGAGCAGACGGTTGGAAAGTAAACACGAGAACAAACAGTTAGAAGCTAAACATGAAAGCAAGCATGAAAGCAGACAAATGGAAGTGAAACAAAATGAGAACAGGCAGACAGAATCAAAACAAAATGAGAGCAGGCAAATGGAGATGAAACAAAATGAGGGAAAACAAAATAATGGCAAACAGGAAATAAGGCAGCGGCCCGAAACGCCAAAACAGAAGAGTGAAGGCAGGCCCGAAACACCAAAACAGAAGAGTGAAGGCAGGCCCGAAACGCCGAAACAGAAGAGTGAAGGCAGGCCTGAAACACCAAAACACAGACATGATAATAGGAGGGACTCCAGTAAACCATTATCAGATAAGAAAATTGAGATATCTAGGCATAAACTAGATGTGAAATCTGATCCTTCAAGGGTAAAACCTGAAAGTAGATCTGATCCAACAAAACAAAGGCCTGATGGGCGTTCAGTTTCTGATACACTGAGGCGTGACCATGATAGCCTTAAACAAAGATCTGAGGACAGGGGGGAGTCAGAGAGATACAGAGGAGATCCATCCAAGATTAGAAGGCCTGAATATTTGAGATCCTCAAACAAAAATGAACATGATTCTAAGCATGGTATTAAATCTGATGGTTCAAAACCTGAGAAATTTGAAAGGAAACATAGGCATGAGTCTGGTGAATCAAGGGAAAGGTTTTCTTCTGGGGATCAGAAATCAAGACCTGACAGCCCTCGTATTAAACAGGAAGGTAAAGGAGATTCTAGTAAATCAAGACCTGATAAACCTGGTTTTAAATCACCCAACAGCAAGGATGAACGAAGGACAGATGGTAATAAGAGTAAAGTAGATAGTAATAAAGCACATGCTGACAATAAAGCAGAGTTTCCCAGTTACTTGTTGGGGGCAAGATCTGGCGCATTGAAACATTTTGTTATTCCAAAAATCAAGCGGGATAAAGATGGCAATGTTACTCAGGAGTCAAGGAAAACTGAATTTAGAGGTGAACAGAAGGACAAAGTAGAGAAGATTGGGCTAGTTGAAGATCTAAATAAAGGAGCTAAGCCTGTAGTTGTCCTTCAAAAGCTTTCTTTGGATGATGTGCAGAAATTTATTAAGGATAGAGAAGATAAATCAAGGGGCTCTTGTTTTAAACCTAATAAGAACAAGTCATCTAAATCTAATAAAGGTAAGATTTTTTTAATATTAATTGTATTATATCTTTTACATTCCTGTTCTTTTAGATTTGCTACTTCTGTGGTTAGAAATGAAACACAAACATTTGAGGGTTAATTTATGTGCTTGCTTATATGGTGATTTTGGGGAACAAAGTGAAACTCATCTACGGGCTTGTAGTTTTTGGAAATCTTGCTACAATGTACCTGAAATGATTCATGTACTCTAGTGCAAGTATCTAATGTGGGAACACTTAAATGGTCATAAGCTGTATTTCAGCTACATTAGTTTGACCTGGTAATTTCTCCAGTGAAATGTAACTGCTGTGTGTATGATTTAAACTGGTTAAATGCGTCTGTATAAGGGACTGGTACTACTGTAACTAAATCAGTGTAGCTGGAGTGGTGGGAAATACTATGTATACAAGCCTTAAGATTCTTTTATGTTTTTAATTGGAACTGAAATGTGGTTTTCCAAGGCATGTTTTGACATGATGCAATAAGAACGCACTGACAAAGTCCCATCTGCCTCTTTTACACTATAAATACAACTCTGTTGGGGAGCCTCCACACTTGAGGCTGTGTGACAATAAGCTTAAAAAGAGATTCTGCCTTTAGGAGAATTCAGACATCATTGTTTTTAGGGTCCGTTGAATGGAGAAAGAGGAAAGGAACTGGTAAACAATTGGCTGGCGTTTTCAAATGCGTAATAATAGGGACAGGAAATAATTCAGGTAGTTTGTAGGTTTGATACTTGGTTGATTATCTCTTCTGCAGATTTAACACTTGTTTAATAAAATTGCTTTTCTTCTTGGTGCTCTAATTTTGGCTGCTTTGGTTTCAGAGCGAAGTAGATCATATCACATTGTGAAATCAATGTTACTAACTGGTCAGGATTAATTTCTCTTTTATTGCTTAGCATTTAAAGCATTTAAATTTCTTACATAGTTATGTTGATAGAGTTGTCATGTCTCAAAATAGACAAATCATGTGGCAGGATTGAGGATTTCAGCTGTATACAGGATGATTTATGAATGCATTTCCAGGTATATAATGAATTCAAGATTAAAATGTTTTCTTACATAGTTGATCTGATAAGAAATAGTGTAGAAATCATCTTTGTGAATGTATAACTACGTTTATGTGCACGTATACAGAGGTGATATCTGTATAATGAATTTATTGTGTTACATGTGTTCTCTATCTACTAACCTGTTTGTATTAACTCTTGAAGACTTAATAATTCAGGAAGTGTATTACTTATTTGTAAAATATTAGCCTCCTTGTTAAATATTTTCTCTTTATCCTGGAAATATGAGCATTTGCCCTGTCTTTTTTTGAGGTTCAAAACAGGCAAAATTTCCATTTTTAGTAATAGTTATCTAGAGTTAGACATAAAATTTTGACATCTCTGTTTAGTCAGTGACATCAGTTTAGTCTAAAGATTTCAAATGAAACCTTTATGGTTTTGGTAGAGAATACTGAAAACTTTCTGATGGAACGCAGCTTTAGTTTCAGAAGGATAGATTTTGAATTCACACATTTCTATGTGCAGAAAATCACTAATTTTTAGAGTCCTTGGAGCCATATACAGTGCATGTGTGCCTTGTAAAATGTTTCTGAAGTACTTTTTTTGTAGTCTGTGTTGTCTGTGGTTATTTATGTAGAATGTTTTAGTAATGTGTAAACTTTTTAATGACTCTTGTCTGATTGGCATGAGTCTAGTAGCTGTATCACACATGAGCAACGCATTAATTTTGAAGTCAGGTTTATAATTTTTCTGCAATGTTTTTGTGTATTTTTTGTTTTCTGAAGTCATGTGTTTCTGACATACTCTCAAAGAACTTGGGACATACTTTCCGGGGAAAGAAAATGTTTGAATCTGATATCAGTCTTTTTGCTGTCGTATTCAGAATAAGGTTCTTACAACGATTCTAGAGATAGGTTTCATGGAAAGAATAATATTGTAACTATGTTTCTCTTACAAATCAAGTTTTGATGTTCAGCCAGGCAGATTTTGGAGAAGGTGTCTTTGAACTTCAGATTTTTCATGTGTATTTTTAGTTTTACAATTTTTTTTGCCCAACTTCCTGGTGACTTACTTCCTAGAATTTATTATGCTAAATAACTAGGTGAACTCCAATGTTTGAAAAGGTTCATAATTTATAAAGGTATTTTTTCATAAGCCAAAATCTCTTTGTCAACAACTGGTTGATATAGAAAATACTCATGCCCTTGCCACAATGTCCTCACTCCAGTTGAGAGAAATAGTGTTCACTGTTTTACTCTGTGCTATTTTTAGTTATAAACATTTTAATACACTAGGAAATGTGATTTTCATAAACATTCTTTATTTAGTTCATCCTACATTTCTTAACAGATTGTAGCAAATCTTTTCTAGTGTTGAGTTTAGCATCATTATTCCACTTCTCACATCCCTCTTATTCCGTGTAGCTTAGTATATTTTGCTTTATCTTTCCTTATTTTACTTCCTTGTATTTCTTATCCTTTGTTTTTGCTTTGTCATCCATCCCTCCCCCAAGAAAATGTCTTCTCCTGGCTTTGCCACGTACATCATCGTTGCTGTGATTTATCTGAAATCCAGTTTAAAATAGGATTGGTTGAGCTAGTTCAAAACACCATTTAGATAGTTATTCTGTCTTAAGGGGCTAATGCCCATTCATTATAAAACTCAGTAAAATTGACTTGTTCTAAGCTAAAATTAATGCTTTGCAAACTGGAAGTCTATATAACTTTTTACATTGTTTCAGTAAATTTTAAATTTGAAAATCATACCTTTATTGTGCGTGTGGATCTTTTTGCATTGTACTTCTGGATGTTTTGCATTGCAAAAAGACAAAGTAACATTTTAATAAAATTTTATAGACAGGTTTGAAATTTTGTTAAGGTATTATATGAATGGGAGGGATAGCTGTAGTATGCGACTGTTAATATTGAATGATCCCAACAGTCCCTTTTCGCAGTTACAAGGAAGAAGCAACTTTTTTCTCTCTCTCCTGACCTTTGAGCATTTTTCTGAAAGATTCACTCTAGCTCAGAGGAAAGTTACAGAATTTTTTTTCATAGTATTTTTGTTAAGGGGTCTTATGGTGAAATTTGTGGCCTGTTTGGTCCGGGTCAGAATGAATTGTAACCCTTTTTTCTTCTGGTTTAAATATCTGTGACTGCCTTTTATTCTGGTTTTAATGCAAATGTATGTTGTTGGGGGATCCATGAAACTTTTCCCTTCGAGTTTGTGCCTGCAATGAGGAGGTCATGTTTGCTATTCTTTCTTTTCAGAGCTTCAGCGAATACCTTCTCTGCTGCTTCTTAGAGCTATACTGATCAGCTGTGTTGGGATGGGAGCTGTTAACAGTTTCACAGTTACTGCATTCTGAACAAGACAAATTTTCCTTTGTTAAAGTATGAAACAGATATGAGTAATGAGAGAAACTGTAACTGTCAGTGTAAGGAGATGTCTGAGTTGGTTTATAATATGTTTGAAGGATTGCTTTTCCCAAATAAGCACCATATATATAATGTAAGTTTTAGTTCTAGGACAAATGAGTGCCTGTTTTTTAAGACTTGTGCAGAAACACCTTTTTGGGTCTTCCAATATCACCTAAACCTCTGATCTGAATGCTGCTCCTTCATTGTGTAGATTGTTACAGGATTTCATTATCTGTACAACACAGAACTTTAAACACAGGTTTTTGTTGCTCACTACAAGTCTTCCTAAATATACTGCGTTCTCTGCTGCTATAATCTGAAATTTGAGTGAAAATTTGCCATTTCTTCAAAGGTGCTCTTCATACATATTCTTACAGAATCAACTAAAAAATATACTGCTTAATCATCTTCATGTCGTAGAGTTAAAACAATGCTTCTAGATTTTCCTGTATTCTGTGCTTGTGTGGTTTGTTGGTTGGTGGGGTTTTTTGGTTTTGTTTTGTTTTTTTTTTAATTCCAGGTGACTTTTTCACAGCCTATTGTAACTATGATTTGGCATTTGTGTAATGTGATGGTCCATCTTTGAATTCTAGCACTGCTGGAAATAGTCTTACTTGTGAAGCAGGGTAATCACTTAGGTGCTCATCTTCTAGGTAGGAGTGACAAGAAAGGGAGTATTCCAGGATGAAAAGCTGTGTCCAGATTGTATTGGCTCAGTGAGCCAACTTGTGATGCCTCTCACAGACTTCTAGTTAACACAGCAGAGCTACTCATGAATACCTTGTGGTACAGCTGAAAAGGACAAAAAGGGAGTATCAATTTTAAACATTTGTTTAAATCCTTCATGTATAGGACTTCTATAAGGACAAAATTGGCAAATCTTTGAGAAAAATAGCTTATGGATATTAACACGTCAAGCAAATTTTAGGGTTCACTCAAATTTATTTCCAAAATAACATTCTGTTGATGCTGAAACAGACATGCTGTTGTACTCACTGAAATCAGTGGGGCGTGCAGCTGTGCTGCAAGGAAATAACTGGACTGAAAACATACTTCCTTTGGAAAGGAAAAAACTGCAACTCAGCTTGCTTACTAAAGGTTGTGCTTTTGTAAAGATTACCATTGTGAAAGTCTATAATTCCACAAATCTGAAATTTGAAATCACTGTCTTGGAGTTCCTAGTAGCAACTGCATTTGCATGTGGGAAGGCCGGACGAAAGCTGCTTGCAAGTGCACGCACCACCAGATGGATCAAGCATGTCATAAAGTTCTCTGAAGCTCTACAGACAATTATGCCACATTTCAGAAAAAAAAGGATCTATTTCATGGTTTACAACAAGAAGCTTATAATGATTCTTCTCAGCTGAAGTCTTTAAAGCTTCTCTTAACTCTAAATTTAACTGGAATTTTAGGAAAAAAACATCACTTTCATAAGAATTCTACAGTATTCCTCTTTTCTGAGATATTAGTGACTACCTCTTTTCAACTTAACTAGACTAAAAGAGGAACTGGCTGTCCCTTGTGGCATTAAAAGTATTTAAAGATGTGTGGGCTTGCAGAGGAT